CAGAATTAAAACCAGTCATGCAGGAATGAACCATGTTTGTGGTGTTTTAAGCCGAAAAACTAAAAGATTTTTCATAATTTGCTAAAAAAATAAAATAAAAAAGTGTCCCAATGTTTGACTTTTAAACTATTTTAATTAACCTGCGCTGAGTAACAAATAATGAGCTCGACATCTGAACATCTGGAAAAATCACTCATTCACTGTGTTAAAGGCTGGAATGAATCTAACACATCTACATGTTTCCTCCGTTATAAGATGAACAAAGCTGCTTTTTAACTGCTGATAATGTCGTGCTGTGCGACAGAAGCACGCGTGTTCACAATGTGCCGAACAAAGTGAAGCAGGCCTTTTGCTTGTATGTTACAGACGTGAGCTCACGCCGTTTGTTGGTGCGCAGCGAGAGGCTGGAGGCAGCAGGAAAATGAAAACAGTGGCTGACCATGAGACGACAAAAGAGCTTTCACCGCATTGTTTATTCCTTTAACACTCGGAGGTTCGCCGGATTGTTTGTGGGCGACGTTGCAGATCAATAAGTACAACAGCTTTATGGCAATATTGGATTCTTCTAAAGGATTTTTTGCAGCGACGTGATTAAGTGTCGTAACTGGTCGGACATTTAATTTGCTGGATGTGACAAAAATAAAAGTTTTTTTTGTTTGTGCATTAAAGGACGCTTTGTGTCAGACTGATGACACAAAATTACATGTATGATTACGCAGGATTCACAGCAAAAGAAAAACTGAATAATCGGTGTTTATGCGTCTTGTCTGGGGACTTCTTGAAGGTGTTTTTCTGAGGTACAACTTGTAGATTCAATTAAACCCATAAAGCTGCCAGAGAGCAAACAGGGCGTCGCTCTGGGTTAAAATCAACACCGCATATAGCGCTGATTAAATAATAACACGGGCGTTATCAATAATGCACCCCGCTTACTTAAAAAATGTAGGAACTTGTCGCATTGCTCCAGAGCTTCCTCCTCCTCCTCCTCCTCCTCCTCTCATCATTTCTCTCTTTAATGTAGACAGAGTTGCATCGTGGGATGTGGAGGAAGGCGACTCCGAGAACTCGCAGCTGTTTACAAAATTATAGGTGCTGGGAGGAATGTATTTGCTGCAATTATCGTTTGTTCACTCGCGAGCGACCAAAGAGGCGTAATATTTTTCACAGTTAGCTCGCGTGTCGGAGTTATTAGGTTTACTTGAGGATGCCGAGCATTTAGGGCATATTGTTGGAGACTGCAACACTTGCAGGAAATGGATTTTCCAGCAGTAATATTCTCCAGCCGGCAGAGTCTCGGCTTAAGCCTCCCGTCTTTTGGTTCACGGTCAGTCACGGTCCCGTCTGCTTTTGGAAGACGAAGCGGTTTGCAGAGGAGCTACGTCATCTGCACTTGATGTGCTGCTGTGACGGATGCACACTCGATCCTACAGTATTCAGCTTAAAGGAGCTGTATGTTGTGTCTCGCCCAGCCTCTAATTTATACAGCGAGATGTGCGAGTAGTAGGAAGGTGACACGTAATTTGTTTTGTTGGCTTTGGATTCCGGCAGTCTGGATCTAAGAGGAAACAATGCAGATGAGGTGAAAGTCTCGGCTGTGCTCAGAAAGTGTTTACATCCATATCAGATGAACTGTGTAGGATCGGGATGTCTTTGTGTGCTGTACTGTACTCGTCTCTCTGGGGCCTTTTTACCCTAAAGTCATTGTTTGTTTCTAATCCATTGTGCTGGAGCACCAATAAACTACGCCGTGACTCAGCCTGAAACACTGAGGAAGGAAGCTGAGTCTGTCCGTTTGACTCGGTTCGTCTGTTTGGTGACATTTTCATTT